AGAGGAGAGAGAAGAGAGAGGAGAAAAGAGAGAGGAGGAGACAGAGGAGAAAGGGATGACCCCGGGCCTAAGTCTCCCAAGTGGTTTCGCTCGTGGGGTGTCATTATCATTGCATGTACGTGTCACGTGTCTGCATTCGGGTTCGTGGCTCCTGTCTGGTTGTCTGGATGGCGCTGCCGGCGTCCATGGCGAATGAGCTGTTTGAGACTGGCAGATTGTCCACTGGCCGCTTCACCCAAGGACAGTGGACGTTTACTGCACTGTCAGCTGTCTGTAAGACAGCGTAATGGTGCGTGCAAGACGTGTTCGCTGAGAGTGAATGCAAATAACCACTGATCTTCGTGATTGGCGTCCGTTCCCAAAGGAAGTGGGTCGAGTCAAGCAATGTGAAGAGATTGAAACTGGCGAATTACTTCAATTGCCAGTTCATTGATCATGTCAGCACTGGCCAGACTGAGATTGTCCCGACTGATCCAGTGGTTGCAGCCACAATGGGCCGCACTGCTGTCAGGAATGGCTTCAAAGTGTGGTTGCACAACATTCTAGAGTGGCGCCGGTAGCAGATCGGAGCCCATGTGATGAATGGCAACCGCCCAATGCTCAAATGGGGATTGCTTGGTCATGTCCCTGTGGCAATGGCACTGGCCCGGAGAGCGTGAGATTGCCGGAGAATGTTTGTCATGGGATGAACTGTGTGACCTGGAGTTCCCTGAGAACTTGAAGAATGCGAGCGGCCTCCTCATCCGTTGCGACTGGTGGCTACAGTGATCCAATGACCATGACTGGATCAATGCTCAAGAAGATGCCTGAGAAGACTGAGATTGCATTCAGGAAGTTGTGAATGCAATTGATTGATCTGGATTTTCAGACTGGCGGAGTGGCAATGCGATCCCACTACTGAATTCTGAATGTTATTTGAAGCGACTCATCAGTGCAAATGATGTGCAGACTGTGTGACATGTTGAACGGTCAACAATGGCTTTTCCTGGATTCACTGTTCAATGTTTCGGAATGTCAATGCAGATTGCAGTGATGAGCTGGGAATGCAGGAATGGTCCTGGTGTTTATCTTATTGTGACTGCTTTGGATTGCTGGCTTGAATGTTCCCTCTGACTGGAAATGAGACTGACTGCTTTCGCCTTACGTTTTTTACAGTGCGGAATTGCAGATTGTCAGTGCATGCAGTGTGTAGCACAAATAAAGGATTGAGCTACTGCCTCCACATGTTGTTGGTGAGTTGATTGGGCTGAATGATGTTATTGAAGTTTTGATTGGTTTGACTTGGTCAACATTATGAATGAAGACTGTTGACACTGTGGAGCAAATGTGAATCATGACTGAAGGTCTGATTCAACGGGCTGTGTTAGATGACGCTGTTCCCACAATGCCCTGGACTTCTGGACTGTATGCCACATGGTGAGCATACTGCATGGCACCAAATGGTGTTTGGCTTAAGACTGGATTGCTGTCACTGTGAATGCACAACGGATTGATCAAGCTTGCTGTGGATTGTGGAGAGTGATTGGTTGATCTTACTGAATATTGGTTAGGTTGATTGTACATATTGTGTGTATTGAATTTTACATTGTTATTATCGCTTTCTTGGTGGTGGTGGTGGTGGTGGTGGTGGTGGTGGTGGTGGTGCACTTTTTCTTCTTGTTGCTTTGGGCTTGGGCTGCTTGCAGGCTTCTTGCTATTCAAGCACAAAGGCCATGTTTAACGCGAGAGAGCCAAATTCGCATGCCCGAAACCAAGGAAGTGGTTTGCCCCGTTCCAGAACAAGCCGAAGGTCAAAATCTTGGAGATCGGAGCTGATAAAGGAGGCAGGAAGGACCGCACAAGAAAAAATAGATAAAACGACATGTGGCAGAGTATCTGTCGCAGAGCAGGCCATAGGCCATGTCCCCGAGCTTGCAAGTCTGTGGAAGGCCGAAGTAATTTTGTCCAGCGCGCGTCCGGGGAGGGGTGTTGAGAGAGAGCTGGGTGGGTGGGGTTGGTGTGGGGGGAAGGCACATTGCAACATAACCCTCTTCCGCTTGGGAGACATGATCGGGGGACCAGCTGCTAGTGGCAGTGGCATCAGGAGGGGGAGACGAAGCCCCAGACGTGGCCTCCTGTGCCAATAAGTGCCATGGTGCAGAAGGTACACTTGCAAGGCACGGCGCCGCAAACCGAAGCACAGGAATAGGTATCTGCAATAGTAGCCGCAGTGGTAGTAGGTAACATCAGCGCAAGTAACGTTCGCATGTTCCGTACTTGCGGCCGTATGGTCACGACTTCAGTACAATGGATCGTTTCCCTCATGACAACAGGACAAATCACACGTGGTCCGCTGATGTGCTGAGATGAGTCATCTTCCCATAGTACACCACCGAGCGGCCAATAAGTCAATCGGTGATCTCTCAACATGTTAATGCGTTAGCATGGTCCCGGATAGTTAGCGTCGCGCATCAGTAAAGTGAGAGATTCCCAAGGCTTGTGCAGTAAACAGTGGCAGGCAGGATTCCCATCAAGTAACGAGTCTAAGTATCCTTGCACGTTGTCGTGTCATAGATTAGAAAGCCTGCCCCAGATGGCCAAACAAGAGAAGCTTTGGTGCATCAGTTTGCGCACATTTGAGCCAAGTCAGCAGGTGTTCCAACTTCAATCCTTAGCCTTGGAAACCTGAAGCATAGCTCCAAACCCTCACATACCCGAGGGATGTTGCTGTCCTGCGAGGCTCCCTTCACGCATGGCACAATTACTTTTCGGATCCTGAAATCATTCTTGGGCTGGCGTATGGAGTTGGCTCGGCAGGCGTGGAGGACAGATCGAAGGACTGGCCCAAAGTGGCGGTAATCCGAGGCGACCAAAGCAAAAACGAGACGATGCAAATATTGATCGAAAAAGGTCCGTGGGACATCGTCATCGAGGATGGCTCTCACTATCCGTTTCTTGGCAGAATTGAGTGGGTACCTCTTCAACTCTTTCTGACGTTTCACTGCACGAAGAGGTTGAACATGTTGAGTATTTGTTGGGGGCCATGGAACTCAGCCACAGGCCTCATATGGTCTACAACCTTTTCTCCCTGTGGAAGACGGTGAACCCTGGCGGCCTCTTTGTCGTGGAAGACATTGAGACTTGTTATTGGAAGAGCGGCTCCAAGGTCAAGGAGGATTTGTATTGGGTTTTATTGGGGATTATAGGTGGTATGTTGGGGGTTATATTGGGATAATGGAAGAGAAAATGGAATCTACTATAGTAGGGTTTTGGGTTTGGTGTGAGCATCACCCGATTGCTTGAAATTGAATTCTTAGGATCTGAGAGCTTACGTTTTGAAATGTGGCTGTGGGATAGCCAGAGGGTGCTCCTACTTTTTCTGAAGCTGCTTGAGCCCTTGAAGGTCTACGGCTATGGTCTTCCCGGTCGCGGAATCCTCAATGGACCCGACTTCAATGCAGTGGCCAAATTCAAACAGTTCGCCGGCTAGAACTGTTCTTCTCAGATGCTCAGAATGCTTCCGCTGGAACTGTCAAGAAGAAATCGATAGCTAGACGTGAGGATAAGACAGTTGGTATCCTGCGGTATTGGAGTCGTCTCACATAAATTGACTGAACGTCCTAAGGCGCGAAAAGCGTACCAAGTCACGTGGAAAATCCCTGAAAATCATGTTGCTGGTCGCCGACCCCAAGGGTCCAAGTACTGAAATAACATGGTTTGGAGGGCCTGGAGAGCAAGGGTTCTCAAGCATGCATGCTCAGGTTGGTTTGTCTCGGGATAGTCCCTGTAGAATCCTCATACGATCCTTGCAATCCCTTAATACGAGATCTTCACGGGCCCCCACCTTTTGCCAAAATCCCAGGTTCATTGATACCTTATCCAGATGGTCAACAAATCAGCTGAACCTGAGCATCATGGAGGGCGATGAACAAATCTGCTCCATTGAGTTTGGCAATAACCTGGTCGCCTTCAAGAAGCTGGGTCCATCCTTTATGACGGCCTCCCCTAATACTGAAACCCCTAGCCTCCTAATGTTGAATAGTCCATTTGTGGTCTACCATACTACCTCATACGCTTCCAAAAAGGAGTCAGTTTTCTTCCGACGGCAATGGGGACTAAGGAAATGTCGCCAGCCTGCATCTGAGAATCAGAGGTCTGCCAATCGAAATGAGCATTTCAAATAATCCCTATACAATCCCTGGTGGGCAGCGCCTAAAAAGCCTTGGGGTCTCTAAGAGCCCGCAAAATGGGGGAAACTCCCAAGCCTCTCGAATTCCTTTAGCATAGCTAGGTACCCCAGCATGGGGTCTCCTTATTAAAACTGAATAGTAGGAAAAAGGGTACCCTTATTATGAATGGGTTACTGGGGATCTTGGGATAATGGAAAATGAAATGGAAACTATTAAAATGTGTCATATATGGATTATAGTTTATAGGGTATATTGGGGTAATGGAAAATAAATAGCATAGTGTTGGCCAGACATTATTTCGGATCCGCAGTTTGGGATGTAAGGGTTTCAACAGATGGGTTGGGAACGGTTGTGAGCTCATAAAATGGAACCCTGAGCCTACGTATAAGGTGGGTATGGCCCCCACTCATTAACAGTTGGATAATATCTGTGATATGATTATAAAAAGCCCTTATTTTAACCCCTCTTATAGACTGTTAATGGGTGGGGGCAGGACCCAACGTATAAGTCCCCTCTAGGGATTTTATTGGGGTCTTTGGCAGCTGGAAGATGCCATTGCTTTTGTCGAATAGTAGCCCTGATGATCCCAATGTAGCCCTGGTGTCCCTTAGGCCTTAAGGTTTAGGGTTTGCCCCTCAATTTGAGAACCTTAGGCCGTTGGGTTTAGGGTTTAGGGATTTGAGAAATTCCAATCTCAGGGAGGGACCGCAATGACACCAATCAACATGGAAAAAATGGAAGCTGGGATTGCACACGGTCTACAGGGACAAGTACCAGCACTAGAATTATTTGCTTAGATTCCGTGTGTGACTACGGCATAGGGCACTTCAAACCCAATTCAAGTAAAAACATGTAATTAGTCAGGCTCGTACATGATTCTGGCTGGCCGCTGCAGCACCACATCTGACACTCTAGCTTAGATAATGTCCAGCTGAAGAAAAGCACCCCTAAAGCCTAAGTCCAAAACTGCCAATCCTGAACCCTGAAACCTAAATCGGGAACCCCAAATCCATAACCACCAGACTCATGTCCGCTTGACCCCAAAACCCTATTCAAATTGTTTAGGCCTTCTCAAGAGACCATGTCCAGCCAAGGCTCACAGTACGAGTTCGATACTGGGGCAGGTTTGGAAAGACTTCCTCGTGCTTTGTGCAAGGAAGGGGGGTTGTTACTCTGGGGCTTCTATAGTAAGGGTTTAGGGTTTAGGGTAAGGATTACGCGGATCCATTTCCTCATTTTTTGCAAAAAACCAGGTCGCAAAATTATGTTTTCAATGTTGTCTTGACATAACTCAATAGAGATATCAAGCTCTCCCTCAGTGAAAAGTTGGAAGAACATCCAAGGAAAATCACCCTAGAGTTGAGTCACACGTGATTCGCCAAAATTGGCAAGATGTGAATGAATGGCTCCGGGAGGTCAAAGCCACCAATCCCAAGGTTTGACGAGGGTTCACGGGCAGAAGGGCCCATGTGAATGTAGGGGCATAGATACATAGAGTAGGGTCTGGGCATGGATGACATCAAAGTTCTATCAATACTCTGAGGATGCAATGTTAATAACTTTTATGGCTTCTACATGAGAAGTATTCCGTTCTGGGCTTGATTCAGTTGATATTGCGAAATCGGTTTTTCAGAATAGGCCTGACAACAGACTTAGACCCCCCATAGATTGCAATGCGTCACCCAGCTTTGGTGAAGCATCTTCGATGCGGGGTTTTAAAAAAATGTGTATTTCTCAATAAGGTTAAAGGAATTATTTAGTTCTTGCTGAAGATCCTCATACTCTCCTTTTGTCTCTGGGCAGCCCTAGAGTCCCCGTAGGACCATGGGGGCCGCCATTTTGAAAAACACCCAGTTGATTGGGATCTGTTATGGGCAAAGTGTGGGGAACCTTGGGACAGCCCCGGTGCGGATGTTCGGCCGAAACAGGCGCTGTATGCAAGCAGCGTTCAGCAAATGGAGTCAAGGACACACGAGTCCGTTCACAAAACATTAGCCGCAACCAGAACCTGCTGCATGCTTTCCTTTGGAAGAAATCCCTGTCCCCAAAACTGGCTGCGCACCCCACAGTAACGAATATTCTAGATTTCCGTGAGGCGGCGGGCTTGCGTTCAGGGAAGCTGATGACTCTGAAGCGCGGATTTCACTTCGGGCTATGAAAGGTCTTGGTGGTTCGGCTCCGGTGTGGAGAGCCATTGTTTTGTTGCTTGTACCTAGCAACTGTAAAGGTCCTTGTTCTCTTTGCCTGATGAGCTGTAAGTATTGTTTTGCAACCCGAACCCTGAAAAGAAAGGAATTTGAGATTGGAACATGGTTCATGCATGGTCTTGATTTGAACGGTTGGGGGTACACTTAGCCACTTAGCCCAGGAAAAAATCAGCGAGCGCTCAAGGAGCAGCATGCTTATTCACCAGAACTACTGGCAGAAATGGATTGTGATTCGTTGGACCTCCAAATACGTGAAGTCAGGTAGGATTGACGACGGGCCCTGAACTTACGTCCTATTCACCATAAGGTAGTTTGAAAGAATGGGTACCCCAAGGCAGTTCCAGACGTATATATATATATACATATATGCATATTTTAACATATTGCAACTCTTATTATGATGTGGACCCCGAAGAGGGCCCCAGCTCTCCAAAAACCGCCCTGAATCTGTAGTTTTCATCGAGCTTTCAGGCCCAATTTAGTGGAACCGGGTTTGTGCAGCGTTCAGGGTCGAAGCAGGAATCAAGAGCAACCTGGTGTTTGGAAGGGCAAAGATCCTGACCTCATTTTTGGATGAATTCTGGAAGGATATGTTCCGCCCAAAAATGATCATGATTCTGAGCCTGAGACTCCCTCGATGCCCTATGAAGTGCGCATGTCAATGCCTTGACATTGAACCCTAAACCCTCAATAGTAGTTTCCATTTTCTTTTCCATTATCCCTATATAATCCCTATAGTCCCCCTAGATTACTATATTCCCCATATTACTAAGAACCCTAAACCCTAAACCCTGAACCCTAAACCCTGAACCCTATCTTCATCCCTGCGAGGTACCGGGACCAGGATGGAATCCGCTCCTTCATGTTGGATGATACTCGTTGTCCTTTACAGTATAGTTTAGTATTTTATACTTATATATTATAGTATACTATAAAATATTATAGTATATTATAATTTATTAGTATAATCTATAACATTGTATAGTATATCAGAATATATGATATTGGCAATAACCTTTCTTAGCTGTCAGCTCAATGTAAATCCAATGTTATGCTTCTTTTCTCGAGACCCTGACTACGACTAAAGCCCTCAAGAACCGAATCTGCCAAGGATGATGGATGCGAGATTTGGCTTGCAAGTGTCCACGCTTGCGTGGGTCCAGCTGTTTCTATTGGTCGGTTTGTTGCTCGTTCAGCTCAGCTATCTGAACATGCTTCTGATTGGTTGGTTAGGCAGAACCTACAGACAAAGAAACTGAGAAGTTTGCATACTTTCTCAGCATTGCAGAGACATTCTGCACAGCAGCCTTTAAGCTTTCTGCGAGACTCCCTCTGGATCGCAATGGTGAATCTATGTCCAGTCTTCGGAAGGTGGTTGTTGCGCGCGTGATCGCCTTCAAAGCACAGTGCACGTACTTGCAGTCAACAACCAGTAATCTTTTATTTGGGGACACCATAGTGAAGGATTATATACTCCTGTCGATTAGTATGATATCCTATGAGACGGGCACAAATGGACTCCTTCAGCCAACATAGATCATTGTCTGGTGATTATAGGGACTATCTCTTGCTGAGGAGATGTTGGCGGCCCTGGCCACCCTAATTCATTCTCATTTCTTGAGACGTCCTTCTTGAGATGAGGATTGCCACTCCACCCTATCTATGGGCCATGCCATGTGCAACAGCGGCTGCAGCCAGACGTACGGCAGCCTGGAGCAATGTGGAACCCCAAAAGGGCCTGACAACATAAGATTCCTGTTAGCTTGAGATAGGGTATCCGTTTGCTCAGCATCAACAGTCACATGATGATCATGGATAATCCTGTTGACATCCGTAATCGTAGTTATGGTCAGACAACCAAGAACAACAACAACAACAACAACAACAACAACTACTACTACTGCTGCTCTTGTTGTTGTTGTAGGAGGAAGAAGAAGCCGTCGTAGCACCTCGTGGGGCGAGCCATGGACTAATGGGTAAGCCAGAACAAAAAGACATTTGCCAAATCCTAAGACTAATGGCGTGAGCACTGCACTAGAACCTGAATAAAATTCCTCGCCCTTTGGGGAAAAGCTAGATTGCACCGCACATTCTGTTTTATCAGCATGAAGTGAAGACAACTCACCCTCAATTGCACAAAGTCCCCTTAGTAGTAATCAGGGTAGCAGCAGTGGCAGTTGTTGCTGCTGATGCTGCTGATGCTGCTGTCGTTGTTGTGCTTGTGTATGCAGATGTGCCCAAGTCTAATCGTTTTTGAAGGTCCGTTTGCTGAAGATGTTTGGCTCTAACGAGCTCATGTAGGGATTCGGGTTTTGGTCATGCGCGTGTGGGATTTGGCGATTAAAAAGGCTTCCACTCAGAAGACCCTTAGCCAAGGTCTAGAATGACCGTAAAGCAGACTCGCTGAGGGGTTGGGTCTTCTTTTCGAAGATGCCTACTATTTGCTTAAGAATCACCCGAAAATGAATATGCTTCCTCATAAAGGTAATATAGGGATGATTATTTGTTATTGTTTAAGGGCTCTGAAGCAAATGGTAGATGCCCAATTCAGCAGCAAAGCCAGTGGCTTTCTGGTATTTGGGCTGAGGATCAAGGCTGCAAGCTTTGAAGTAAAAATGATAGACAAAATACGAAAATGGTGATTATAATAGTAATAATACAAGTAACAATTATAGTGAAAATAATTGTAATAACAATAATAATATTAATTGTAATAATAATAGTAATAGTAGAACTAGAAATAAGAATAAGAGCAATAGTAAGAATCAGAATAGTAGTACGAGTTGT